CTAACAGAACATCATGATCTACGCGTAGATATGTTTTAAATTATAAGGAAATACTTCTAAACCGCGCAATTAGCCTCTAAACTTGCATGTTTTTATACCTCAAAAAGTTGCTTATTTCAAATGGAAACCCCTCTTTTTTTTCTCGATTTCAACTTTAACGTCTCATTTTACGACAGTTTTTATAAGGTGCCCTAGTTCTGAGAAGCACCGTTTCTAAGCTATTTGCAAAAAGGGAGAAAATTAATTTATTTTTGTTTAGATCAAGTTAACCGGGTACATGTTACCATGGAAACAAAAAACCTGTACCTGTTACGTTCGACTCAGTAATACCAAAATTCGAATTTACTATTTCAGAAAATTCAAAAGCGAAACTGCAAGTGTCACCAAAATCCACAAATGCTATAAATAAATACTACACTCAAAACCAAGAAAGGTACTTTTCGTATTGAAATTTTTGGCGATGCTTTGTACCTACATAATTTTATGATTATTATTAAACGTATCCGTTTCCACAATGAAAAATAAATTAAGATCTTTCCAGGATCGTTTAGCTACAGCAAATAAAATTGATGGCACTCAGAATTTCCAATATCTTTTGCGGAACGTCAATAGACCTACGTACAATTTTATCCAATGCCAAATTAGAAACCAGATGTTGAAGGCACAGGCTAGGCGTTACAACATTGAGGAAAAAAATTTGGCATTGTCTCTTTTTAAAAATAGTCCAAAGGGCTACAAATTGCTTAGCAAAATATTTGCGTTGCCCTCTACAAGAACGCTTCGAGTGCTGTTACAAAATATTCCGTTTCACGCGGGCATAAACAAAGCAATTTTCGATAGCTTAGAAAATGCCGTTGCAAAAATGAAAACACGTCAAGAAAGAATGTGCATCTTGCTTTTCGATGAAATGGCCATCCAAGCAAACCTAGCGTATAAGAGATACGACAAAATTATTGGATTAGAAGATTATGGAGATGAAAAACGTGCTGTTCTAAGTGATCACGCAAATGTGTTTATGCTTAGGGGTATATATAGGCAATGGAAACAGCCAATTGCATTCACTTTTAGCAAAGGACCCGTTAGGCCTATCAATTTGAAAAAAATGATTAGAAATCTTATTGAACACTGCCAATCCATA